GGCTGGGGGGCAGGGCAAAGGTGGCCCTAGGGCCCCCTTTGCCCTGCCTCCCAGCTCTTAGCTCCCCCCTGGGTTTCCGATCACTGTCAGTGCAGGGGGCTTCTTCCTGCTTTCCCTTTCACCTCCCTGCATTGTGCCTACATATGCAAATTAACGGCCATCTTAGTTGGCAGTTAATTTGCATATAGCCCTGATTAGCCAATGAAAAGGGTATTGGTCGTACGCCAATTACCATTTTCGTCTTTTATTAGATAGGATTAAAAACCAACTTCAGACTGCCATATAAAATTTAAACATGAAAAGTAAAAATAAATGATAATTTAATAAGTCATTTTATTTTTATAACTAACTTAAAGTTTTCTAATAAATTGTATAGGGCTTTACTCACTGTGTTTTGACTGTCAACCCTGTGAGTCAATCAGAATATCTTGCAGATCAAAACAAAACTAAAACTAAAAACCTGATGTTCTCAGAGGTGAAGTGACTTCCCCAAAATCAAAGTGTATGATATTCCAGTTCTAAATTCTTTGAATTCTTCCATAGGAAAAGGGAAAGTTTGAGTATGAATAGTAAGGGAAAACATTGAAAAGTGAGTAACCTAGTTGGACTAAACTCTCAGAGGAACATCTCTATTAATAAAGATTTTTAAAGAAATAATTTGTAAGATGATTACCAATTTAAATTTACTTGGTTAAATTTGTGTCTAAATTTTAAGGAAAAACGTTTAGAATGCCATAGTTTTGTAATCATACCCAAAACAAGGAGATGGTGTTAATTGTATTAAAAATTGTGTTAACAAATATTAAGGGATGTTGTTTTAAAGTCATCTCCGGCCTTCCTTTTTATTTTTCCTTGTTCTAGTTATTGAATTCACATAATGTTGTGAACAGTTGGTGATTACATTTAAGAATACATTTTTTTTTTAAAGAGATATGGCCTGTGTATGTGGAGCTGACCAACGAAAAGATATATGGCTGTGATTTCATTGTCAGTGCTACAGGAGTTACACCAAATATAGAACCTTTTCTCTGTGGCAACAATGTAAGGTGAAATTTTTGGTCCCACTGCACGTATTTTTAAAGTATTAATTATTTATTAAGCTCTAATTCTCAAGCCTGAAATTATTCACTGTGTTAGTATAAAACTGTAACTTAATATGACTAAAAAGAATTTAATTTATATTCATATCTTGATTTGCAATACTTTTTTAAAAATAAAGATTTATTGATTTCAGAGGAGAGGGAGAGATAGAAGCATCAATGATGAGAATCATTGATTGTCTGCCTCCTGCACGCCCCCTACTGGGGATTGAGCCTGCAACCCGGTCATGTGCCCTGACTGGGAATCAAACCGTGACCTCCTGGATCTTAGATCAATGTTCAACCACTGAGTCACACCGGCTGGGTGATTTGCAATATTTTTTTACTGCTTAAAGTTCTTAAGCAGTTAACATTGCAGCATAGGTGTCATTATTGATGTGACATAATGCATAACTTATTTATATAAATATTGGTAAGAGACTGATACGACATGAATTCTTAAAAGTGCTATTTTGAAAAAACTCTTAATAATTTTTTTCTTTTTAGCATTTGAAGCCTAGAAAAACTGAGGAATATTCTTGTAATTATGAGTGGGTTAGTTGTATGGTTACTGGGCTTTTTTGATATTGAAATTCTCAGAATTTTATGAGTTTGCATCTTATGAGGAATTTGATTCCCTGGAAATTCAGCTTAGTTGCCTAAACTTTCAGCTATTTTTCACTTTCTCTTTAAAGATCAGCAAATCATGATGTAAAAAATTTACTTGTTCTTTTACTTTAGAATGAAGTCATGTTTCATTTTTCTTACCATTTATGCTTATGAGGAACATTGTTTAGTTTGATCTAGGAGAAGATGGTGGCCTGAGAGTGGATGATCATATGCACACATCCCTTCCTGATATCTATGCTGCAGGTGACATCTGTACTGCTTCCTGGCAACCCAGCCCATTCTGGCAGCAGGTATGGCCCATACATGATCACGGTTTTTCAGAGACTCCATCTGAAAACAAGGAGTTGCTACCAGCAAATCCAACTTTATGGTTTTCCAAACCTCCTACTTTAAGTAGGAAGCTATCATAGAGGTTTTTGTGACATTAAAAAAATCAGAATGTTTCCCTTTTGGTGAGTGATAGAATGACAGTGATAGAATAAAGAGATATCTTTCAATTTAAAAGGAGTCATGTGCTGTTACTTTTTCATTCTCAGATGCTTATCAGCACTGTCCAGTGGAACTGTCTATGATGACGAAAATGTTCTGTACTTCTGCATTGTCCAGTCAGGTAGCCACTAACCACATGTGTCTATTGAGCACTTGAAATGTGGCTAATGTGATTGAAGAACTGAATTTTACTTACTTTTAATTAATCTAATAGTTACATATGGCTATTGGCTACCATATTGTACAGTACAGCTTTATACTAAAAAAACGAAGTTTCAGAGATTATAAGCCATATATAGATAAAGCATTCTGTTCCTGATGACCCTGTTCTGTCCTATGGGAATTACTATTGGAAAAAAAAAAGTTCCTGTAGTGAACAGCCTTGCTCACCCTTTAGCCTAACAGCTGCTTCCACCTTGGTCTAGACTTCCTCCCGCCCTCAGGTGTTGTTGCCTACTTCCACAAACACTAGAGGAAGATACTCCGTGGCTATTGGTGAGGTTGTCTTAGGAGCAGTGAAGACGGGTAGATATTAGAGATAAAAGAACCAGTCAGTGCCTCTCTTGGTGAAAGACCAGCTCCACAAGTAGCGATATTATTCATTCAGATTAACTATGGAGTGTGAAGTATTGGAAAAGCTAGATGTTGTTCAAGAGGCAGCTTCATTGGTTTGTGTGTTGTTTTTTATGTACAGCAGAGCTTTAACATCAGTGATAAGAGAGCTTCTAAAATGCTTCAAACTAGCTTGTTTTCAGTTTTCTCTACAGTCATCGTATGTCATTTATGTGGCATATCTGTCACAAACTCTCAAGTAGGAATTGGAGTTTGGGGGATTTAAAAAAACAAACATTTAAAACCCTCTAGGATAAATCATATCTTCAATGTGCATCATTAGAGGAAAGAAATATCTAAAAATAAATAGGTGTCTCTTGTTTTGAGTAAATCTTAATAGATCCCATCTCTTAATTGGCAGAAGCAGTAAATACACTAGTAATTGTTTTACATAGTCCAAGATGCAAACTTAAGAGACTTTGAAGCAGCAATACATCAATTAGGTAATAGTCCAGCAGTGTAATATTGTAGGCCACTGCCTTTAGCCATCCTCTGGTTTTATTGTGCTCAGTTTACTCTACTTCTTTACCAGAGACGGCCTCTTACTTCATTAACCCTAACTTGTTTACATGGAGACAAACACATGGGGGTATAAGGGTACTACTGCTTATTATAGGCTAACCTATTGAATTTTCCCAATAGCCAAGGAGGAGGTGGTATATGTTTATATTTCAAGTGAAGAAACTGAGACTCAGAAAAATTAAATAGGTACAGTTGATACGCAGATCTACTGACTTCCGAGGCCAGTGTTCTGTTATACTAGAAAATCCCAAAAATTTGTAGAAATACAGTAAAAACAGAATACAGAAGAAGTTAATACTGCTGTAGAGAATTTTAAATGACTTCCTAGAATCACTTGCTGAGATCTGAAATGATGTCTTGGGGTTAGGCACCAAGTGATAAATCTGTCTGCCCACGGAGGTAAATTGCAGGGTAGGTCTTAACGATCTAGCACCAATATGAGGGTTAGGAGAAGAAACAAATTTTTCAGTGATAATTTGGCATCTCTATTAATGCTGAAGAGAAATTTATTCTGAAGTAGAGACTGGTTAAAATGTTATCTGGTGTAACCTGAAATATATTTTTAAATAGAAAATTTATTGAAATGTAAAAGTTGGTGTCATATTTAATTTTTGAAGCAGTATTTAGGTAGAATTATTAGATACCAAAATCAGATGCCAATCAGTGTGGATTGGTGATTGCTTCTATGGCAAAGATGACCCAACCAAACATCTAACCAATTTAACCGATCTAGACCCAACCAATCTCAAGGACTGTCAAACATTGAACTCCATGAAGGAATGTTACAAGGTTAAGTGCTAACATTTTTCAAGTAATGATAATGAAAAGTTACATTGCATTACATTTTTTATTTCAGATGAGGCTGTGGACCCAGGCTAGACAGATGGGATGGTATGCAGCGAAGTGCATGGCTGCAGCTAGTTTAGGAGAGTCCATTGACATGGATTTCAGCTTCGAACTTTTTGCTCATGTAACAAAGTTTTTTAACTATAAGGTAAGATAGATAAGCAAATTAGTGCCTTTTTCTGCTTGTTAGTAACTGATTATAATCATCAGATTTTCTTGCTTGAATACAAATTCATATGGTTTTAATCATTTCACAAAGAAAAAAATACTTTATTTTATGCAAATCAATACTTGGTATTATTGCTGATCTTAATTCCTAATTATCTGATAATCATTACCTCCCTTCCCACTGTAGTTTTACACTTTACAAGGACTGTTCCCTATTGGTGCATTTCTAATTTTTATTTGAGATTCATTATTTCTTTGTGCAGGAAACTAATAGCTGTCATATTCAAGAGTGAACCAAGTTATTTTCCATACATATCTTAGTCCTCTTTACGTTAGTCTGAGGCTAGTTTTTGTTCCTAATTTACTGATAAGGAGAAACATACACAAATATACACATATACAAGGTTCAGGGAGATTAAATAATTTGCCATGAAAGATCTAACTCAGTTCCTTATTAAATCTTTAAATCACGACTCCAGGCTAATGTGGTCCATATTCTACATATTTGTATATTCCATAGATAGACAGATATTTTAATCCTCACCCGAGGATGTGTTTTTTAAATTAATTTTAGAGGAGGGGGGGAGAGAGAGAGAAAGAACATCAATATATTGCCTCCTGTACATGCCAACTGGGGATCTAATCCACAACCTAGGTATGTGCCCTGTCTGGGAAACGAACCTGCAACCTTCTGGTGTACAGGACGCCGCTCCAGCCAACTGAGCCACTCATCCAGGGCTTCACTAGATATTAATGTTCATGTAGATTGAATGGCATTATCACCTGTAGAATAAATGCATACCATTCAAATGTTTGGGGGTTTTTTGGAACCTGCTCCAATGACGCTTTTAGCTGTAAAATTTTGTGAACAGATTTTTCTGCTGGTCATTCTGGCATAACACAAAATAAGTGCCTATTATGTTTCCTTTTAGGCACTCACTAGAATAACTTTTTTTTTTATCCCTACATGTATATTTATAGGTTGTATTGCTGGGAAAATACAATGCACAGAGCTTGGGTTCAGATCATGAATTAATGCTGAGATGTACCAAAGGACAAGAATACATCAAAGTCGTCATGCAGAATGGACGAATGATGGGAGCTGTCTTAATTGGTGAAACCAATTTAGAAGAAACATTTGAAAACCTGATATTAAACCAGATGAATCTTTCATCATATGGAGAAGATCTACTAGATCCAAACATTGATATAGAAGATTATTTTGACTAAAAAGAGCATTTCAAGAACCACATAGTTTCAAATAAGACAGAATGTCAAGTCAATGATGTGAAGGACTGCACTGATTTAATGGTGACCACATTGAAGTTAAAAATACACAGGTGATAATGATTTTAGTGGAAAAGTATTTAAAAATAAAATTCTAAAGATGAATCAGTTTGAATAACTTACAGATACATTTTTTTCTAACACAAAACTGACCTCTCATGACCACTTATGTAAGAATTTTCAAGTTACTCATTTATGTGCTTTAAACTTAGATGCGTTCACTTGGGATTTAATTTTGGAGCTAGGTTGGTCTAAAAAGAGCCATTCTTTATGAAATGTCAAAATAGGGCTGTGGTTTCAAGCTTAGTTTTATTTTACTTAGAGACATCGCCATCTTACTAATATCAGTATTGATACCTTATTACTCTTTGTGTGTGGATTCTACATGTTATAACCTGAGGGTACTCACTCTGTGATGAGCCTATGTAAAATTCTCAGTACAACAACACTGCTGTCAAAAGATAGTTCTGTCAAAAAAAAATTACAAGGCATAAAGAGCTTAAGATAGTTATGTGAACTTACTCCCTTAACTATTTTACTTTTAAAGGGTTTTGCATTAAAAATTTATTTTTCCCCTCATTTCACACTGTAAATGTATGCAATTCATGCTCTTAAATTGTCAAAAGTTCTCAAATTCTCAAGTCTTCAATACTTAGAGAGAAGTTCTTAAAATATAGCTTCACATATATAAAATATTAATGAAAGTGTCTTAAAATTTAAGCTATAAAAATAATGGTACATGCATGCATAAAACTGTTTTCTTGGAAAATTTAGAAACATTCATCTCATGCATCATCAATTTTTCTTTTCTTAGCCCCTGTATTCTTAGTATCAGATTGCTGAAGTATGTTTGCAGATTTCTTCTGGAAGTTGCCCGAATTTTTTCCTTCCTTCTTTTTATCAGATCCTTCAGAATGACAAGTTTGAGATGATTCAATCTACAAAACAATAACAAACACCTGGTAAAAATTCAGTTAATTTTGTTTTCTCATGAGATTCATAATATCCTTCTATATCAGTTAGCTCTTGAAGTGTCCAGTGGTCTGGTTTTCTATCTTCAAATTTCTACTCACATATGAGTCCCATCTTGAATAGAAGGGTCTATCCCAGTGATGGCGAACCTTTTTGAGCTTGGCGTGTCAGCATTTTGAAAAACCCTAATGTAACTCTGGTGCCGTGTCACATATAGAAATTTTTTGATATTTGCAACCATAGTAAAACAAAGACTTATATTTTTGATATTTATTTTATATAATTAAATGCCATTTAACAAAGAAAAATCAACCCCAAAAGTGAGTTCTCATGTCACCTCTGACACGCATGTCATAAGTTCGCCATCACTGGTCTATACCATCAGAGAAACCATAAAGAACACTTAAAGTGTCCTTAGACACAATTGTATATGGCATGCTTTTGCAGGCTTGAGAGTACTTAGTTTATAACTGCTTTTCAACCTCTGCCACAGAGGCAGACTTCTCAACCAACACTGATCACCATGAGAGCAAGGTGTATCACAAAATTAGACATTAAAATGGTCTTCACATTCCAGAGGTTATAAATTCCTCTATATTAAAAAGCTAGTCTAAATTCTCCCACTTTATGTCTTCCATACCCAGATTCTAAGAACGCTGACTTACCTCTTATGTTCAACTGGACTTAGGAGAGTACTAATTAAAGAAAAGCATCCATAGGCTTGAATGTATTTTTTAAATATTTGAAAATAGTTACCCTGAAATAGGTCTGCGTGGACTTCTTTACTTGCATAGTAATAACATGTGCCTCGTTGTTCAGAAGGTGAGCTTTAGGTCCGGTTTTCAAATAGGAAATGGTAGCGTAAGCTGTAAAACTGTAGTCTTCTCTGCAGAAGATAAAGACCACCAATCAGAAGGGTTTTGAGGAGTTATAGGAAACAAAAATAACCATAAGTGCAATAATTCTAAGTCATATATTGATAAGAAATAATGAAAAATACACTACAAAAATACAGTTTATCTTTATAGAAAGTATTTTCATTTTGTGCGTTTTTATTGACACTAATCAATTATAGTTGGAGTTTAAGTATATTTTCTGTAGTGTTTAACATTCACATGAAACAACCACAAAACCATTTGTTTTGAGGCATTTATAAAAATGAGAAATAATCATAAAGACATTACATTTTGTGGAAGAAAATATTTTCCCAATTTTTTATTCTTGTGATTGAATAAGTCATCATTCTTATGGTACTGGTTTTAGACATTTTACTGTTTTATTTCTTCTTAAGTTTAACATATCTCCTATTTATGGCTGTACTGAGATATAGCTAATGCCTATAAAGTCTGTTTCCTTATTTCTAAAATTAAGATAGAATATCTAGTCTCATCTCACCATGTTGCTAAGATTAAATGAATATATGTAAAAATTATATGTAAAGTATTCTGTAATTATTATCATTATTGTTACATATTCCAAATTAGAGTTTCTTAAAAGTAATCTTTTTGGAAGAATATATATATTTATTCCATGAATAAAAAAATAAAAGTAGCCTGGCCAGCATGGCTCAGTAGTTGAGCAATGACCTATGAACCAGGAAGTTTTGGGGCACATACCCTGGTTGCAGCCTCACTACCCAGTTGGGGGCATGCGGGAGGCAGCCGATCAATTATTCTGTCTCATCATTCATGTTTCTATCTCTCCCTCTTCCTCTGTGAAATCAATAAAAACATTTTAAAATAAATAAAACCGTGTACTGTTTTAAAAAAAATTATAAAGACAACATGAAAGGACAAGAAGGGGGTTGGTATATACTTAAGATACTGCTGTAGAAGAAAGTGCGCAATAATTTTCTCCAGGTCTTCACGAGGGAGTGTGGGAGGAACAACACCTGCTACTCTCAATTTTGCTGCTCCCCTTCCCATCCAAGAATCGATCAGTTTCAGTGGAGTGAGCTTTTCATTCATTTCCTCTGCCTGCTGCAGGATTTTGATTAGATCTCTGCAGTAGGCTGTTACATTCTTTCTTTCAAATGCTATAATCAAAGAGGCATAGTTACAGACAATTGGGATTTAGAAATTAGGGCAAAGATAGTCTATCCTAAGTGGTTAAACTGGTTTCAAAACAAGTCATCATTGTGAGCCACCCTACACACTGGTTTATTAATATGTTCTGAATTAAAACTAGGCTATTCCCCAAGTCTGGCACTAACCTAAGTTGTAAACTCTTTAAAACACTGAGATTTACAGTGATGTCAAAAAAATAACCTAGTATCAGGCGGCCTTTGGGTGTGCTCTGGAACCAAAGAGTATTTGCCAGACATGATGATGCAGATACTGAGAGGTGTTTATAGGAGAGTCAATCTATTCTGCTTATTTACCTGATGTGTGCTCATTAAGCAATTTCCTGAAAACTAGTATGGCTTCATAGCTAGTCAGATACAGAGACAAGAATGTTCTGAACAGATATCCCCAATTATTGGTCTATTTTATATATCAGACTCTTATTAATTTGGTCAGCAAAACAAGTTTCTCTAGGTGTAAACTTAAAATACTGATGACCTTCATCCACCAAGGCATCAGAACTCAGGAACTGGTTAGTCCAGCTCTTCGAGTACAACCCCCAAACACAGAATGAAATAGTTAAAATACTAGTAAAGTTTTAAAACTTTATTTTCCTAATCAGTTACTATAAAGTATTAGAGATTATCATGAGATTAGCCTTATCTTACATAAATAGCATTTCTATTCAGACTATTCATTTCTTAAAAATTTCACATGCCTTCAGTAATAGCAACATAAAATATATACACACAATATGGCTTTTCCTTTTATTTGCCTTTGTTTCAAAACCATGTTGTTACTTTTGAATCTGGCAAATTCTATTCACACGTTTAATCTTTTAAATCTATTTTTAAATCAAATACTGCCCTCATGTAGTCCTACCCATCTATAATAATAAAAGTGTAATATGCTAATTAGAACAGATGACCTTCTGGATGAAGCCAGGGCTGTGAGGGCCGAGGCAGCCGCCACGGCTGTGAGGGCCAAGCCCCTTGCACAAATTCCATGCATTGGGCCTCTAGTATGTGTGTGTGTGTGTGTGTGTATGTATATATATTAGCCTATAAAGGTTCAAAAAACAATGAACTCACAAATGTCTTTACAACAATTATCACACATTTTGTTGCACGCTTCTGAGTTCCATACTTCATCAAAATGTTGAGCTATCAATACACGGCGACATCTGCAACACATTCAGAGATACAAATTATGTTATCTAATAATGTTTTAAGAATCCCTATTTCAAAATGCAGAATTATATCTTGTGTAAGTTTCCTATTGCTGCCATATCATTACCACAAACTCAGTCTTAACGCATTTATTATGTTACATTTCTATAGGTTAGTAGGCCGGGGAGGGTTGGGGGGTGGGAGGTAGGGAGGTAAGAGATCAACCAAAGGACTTGTATGCATGCATATAAGCATAACCAATGGACATAAGACACTGGGGGATAGGGGAGGCTAGGGGACTGTCTAGGGTGGGGGGAAAAAATGGACATATATGTAATACCCTTTGTAATAAAAAATTAAATAAAAAAAAATTAAAATAAAAATAAAATTTTTTCAATTACATTTAAAAAAAAAAAAAGAAGTTTGACATGGATCTTGCTGGGTTAAAATCAAGGTGTAAGCAGGGCTATATTTCTTCTGGAGGCGCTAGAGGACAGAATCTGTTTTTCTACCTTTTCCAGTTTCTAGAGACTGCCTGCATTCCTTGGCTCATGGCCCCCTTTCCTTCATCTTTAAAGTCAAGCACACTGGGTTGAGTCTTCACATCATATCACTCTGACCCCTTCCCCATCTCTGCCTCCTTCCAAATTTAAGGACCTTTGTGATTATACTGGGCCCATCCAAATAATCCAAGTTAGTCTCCCTATTTTAAGGTCAGCTGATTAGCAACCCTAATTCCATTTGTAACCTTAATTCCCTTTTGCCATGTAAGGTAACATACTCACAGGTTGCTGGGATTTGGATGTGGATATCTGTGGGCACTTTGCCCACCACATATAATTTTTTCCATACGTACTTGATAAACATAGCTTTTAAGACGTTGTCTGAGATTCATTTTGAGATTCAATATTTTACTATTAAAAAAATCTTCCTGATAGTTTCTTGTACTTTATAGTATTCATTTGAGTCTAAACCCCAAAATATGCTTCATGGGGGTCTACTGGACATCTAAGAAAAATGTTCTTTTTCTCATTTCTTTAACTAGATTATTGTAGCATCTATAGGAAAGAAATACCATTTTCTGTCACTGGTTACTGCTTATATAAAAATTATGAGTCATTTTTATGTGATGGGTAATAAGAGTTCAAAGATGACAGACAGAAAAGCCATCAGGGAGCTATATGGTCTAATTAAATGTACCCTAAATAGATTAAAATTTATTTCTTAAGAAGAAACTGGACCCTGCTCTCAATTATTTCATCAGTCCATCAGCTGGTAGGATGGTTGGTATGTGTTACTGAGCTCAACTCTCAAAACTCCTCTTATACACCTGCACATAATTATTAAAGCTACACACCAGTACTGGAGGGGAAAAAAAAAGGCTTGAACTCACTATATCAGACTCTTCAGTAAAACAGAGTTTTGGAGAATTATCTGAGAGAGAATATCTTTTCTTGGATTAAGGCAGATCTTGCAGGTTCATGTACTTGTTCTTACACTTCATACACTACTTTTACTTGTTTGCACTTGAAGTTTTACCAATGTATTTACTGACTTTCCTAAGTACTCACAGGAACATCATATACTTTCACATTGTGTTTGTCTCTAACTGACAAAAGTTATGAAAAGACATGTGGCTTACTTGCTTATGTTTTGACAGTATGACACCATCTCATAAAGCTTTTGTTGCCCCACATTCTCCATCACCACCATTGAACTGATTCTGAATATGTCTCCAAAGCCATAATACAAAATACAGTCCGCTTTCGTGTCATCTCTACCTGTAGTAGGAAAGATCTTGAGATTGCATAATTACTTTAAAAATTCAAAGCAAGCAAAAATAATATATGCAAAATCAGCTGGCTATGCTTCATTGTCTAAGTATAATATATCTATAAATTTCAGGCAAAAAAGTGAAAGTTAATTTATAACAACTGCCCTCAAATTTATTTATTTATTATTTATTTTTTTAATATACTTTTATTGATTTCAGAGAGGAAGGGAGAGGGAGAGAGATAGAAACATTGATGAGAGAGAATCACTGATCAGCTGCCTCCCGCACGCCCCCCACTGGGGACTGAGCCCACAACCCGGGTATGTGCCCTTGACTGGAATCAAACCTGGGACCCTTCAGTCTGCAGGCCAAATTTCCGTCCACTGAGCCAAACCAGCCAGGGTTCAAATTTTTTATAAATGACTAAAAGACTTACTAACATTCAACTTTATTTTTTTTAAAACATAGTTTCTTGATTTTTTACAGAGAGGAAGGGAGAGGGATAGAGAGTTAGAAATATCAATGAGAAAGAAACATCAATCAGCTGCCTCCTGCACACCCCCTACTGGGGATGTGCCAGCAACCAAGGTACATGCCCTTGACTGGAATCGAACCTGGGACCATTCAGAAAACCGACTTCTGCGCATGGGCCTCGAAGTTTCCATTGCACTGTATGTGCGGGCCCGCACATGGTATTTTGTGGAAGAGCCACACTCAAGGGGCCAAGAGCCGCATGTGGCTCACGAGCCGCGGTTTGCTGACCACTGATTTATACACTGAGCCAAACCGGTCAGGGCTCAGCTTTCATAATTTAAAAATGTATCCAGCTCTGGCTGGGTGGCTGGAACATCGCCCTGTACACCAAAAGGTTGTGGGTTCAATCCCTGTCCGGGCGCATACAGGAGGCAACCCATCTATGTTTCTCACATGGATGTTTTTCTCCCCCTCAGGTGAGAATTAAAAAATAATGTGTCCATAAGTAATCCAGTTACTTAAGTTACAGAGTTGAAACCACTAATTAAAAACTCAGGAGACAAAGATGGATATCAAATTATCTTAGGAAACTGAAGAAATAATTCATAACACTCTAATAGAATACACATAAGTAAAATTTCTCCATTGGCAAGTAAGATTAAACTGTGAAAAAGACATGTTATTCTAAAAATAGTAGCCAATAAAGATTAAAAATATAGAATTATTAAACATCACTTATAGTGTGTTTTCTGGAAAAGCTTTTTTTAAAAATGACTCTGGTATTGAGTTATACATACCTGCACGTCCACTCTCCTGGTAATAATTTTCCATAGATTTACTCATTGAATGATGAATAACAAATCTCACATCTGGTTTATCAATTCCCATACCAAATGCAACCGTTGCCACCACTACCTAAAATGTTTTAACATTTCATGTTAATTAAGTCAAGTGAAAATACTCTTAAAGGTGAGTTAAGTTTCTATTGAAGATATCTACCTAACCTGAATTTCATTGGCTGACCATCTTCTGTGAACCTTGGTCTTATCTTCTGGTTCCATGTTGGCATGGTATGCACCTGCACGAATTCCCAATTTCTGTAAACTACCTGTAACTTGCTCAGAGTCCTTCTGAGAAAAGCAATAAATGATTCCTGTAGTAAAATATGTCCAATTGTTAGATTTATAATCCTGGAAGAGAATTTTTAACACTCAAAATAGTGATTACTGGTAATACAGGGGAAGATAATTTATGAAAAATTTCAAGGCCCCGACACATATTGATTTTTTTGGTATAATTCACGATTTGATCACCAGCAGACATGAGCCCTGAGCCACAGGTATTGGATCTCATTGCCTCTTTCCTCTCTCCAACTTTATTTCCCACTACAGAGTATTTCTCAAACTGATGCCTCACAGCTCCATAAGAGATTAGCCAGTGTTCTGTGAAAAAAGTTCCAGGTGCAAATGAGTTTGGGGAGCAATGCATTAAACTAAGTTAAGTTTCTCTCTTTGTTTGTAGGCTGGTCAAAACAGATACACCCCATGACTCTCAGGAGAGAAAAATAGCTAGTTGCAGCCTTTTTCAAACTTATTTGACCCTGGAACTCACTTTACCTGGGGTACCCATTCATATCTCCTGAAAATCTATAGAACAGTTTTGAAATGCCGCTTTTATACAAACTCTTTGCTTCAGTAATACTTGCCTGTTCATTAATCCTGAAACACAGTTATACCTGCTCTGAACTCCATCAATACTTAACTCATTCAATATGTTCTATTTATTTCTTTAACATGTCCTTTACTATAAGGGACTGCATTTTACATCCGTTTTAGATCATCAGTGGTTACTTCTATCTTATATACAGTGTATATTTACTGAATGAATATGTGCTACTGAAAATTAACATTATGAAATTAGGTCCATTCCTTAAAACAATTAAGTGTAAATAAGCAAAAATAAATCAGACAGTTAGCAAATGCCGCATACAGTTTCTAAGATGGCCAAGCAAATTAATTTTACCATAACATGTTCAAGTATCCTCTGCCATGCATTACCTTAATATTTTTTGGTGTTAATCATTTATCAGTATATCAGTATAATATTAATTACTTTTTGAAAGTTCTCTCTGTCTAAAAAGTTGGTTTGTTATTTTATTACCTGATTGCCCTTTGTATCTCCCATTAATGACCTTTACAATATCCTCAATAAAATCTTCAGTGTTTGAAGGCTTTTGACGAACCTAAAAAAAGCTAACTTATTAAAAAGTAACTTAATGAGTACCAAGTAGTCACTTACTTACATCTTTCAAGGTGTGATTCTTTCATGAACACTGTGTTTTTTCCTATTATTCCTTCACTCACCCCATCTGCCTCACCCACCACCTCCTACTTCTTCTTCATCATTATTTTTAATTTTACCAGAGATGAGGAGGCACAGAAGCAGTGAATAACTTGTAAAGATGGAGACTTTATTTTCTAGTGCTACTTTTATAAAAACATAAACCATGTAATAACTATTCAATGAAAACTCAAAAATATTGTCTATTCTTAAAAGAACTAAAAAAGAAAAAAAAACTGTTAGGTTATTTAACTTTCAAAGTTATATATCAAATATAATCTAAATAGGGGGGTTAGAAAATCTTTAATGGAATACTAATTTTGTATTATTTCATAATTAATTTTAATAGGATGTCATTAGGATCCTTGGTGTCCATCTATGCTCTTTTTCCACTCTTGCACAAGAAAAAATATAAATTTAACAAGGCAACATCTACTTAAACTAACAAAGAATATGCAGCACAAGAGATATCAGAAGAAGGCATTAATTAATGCATCTTATAATTACCTCCTGATTTTAAAAGCTTTTTAAATATAGTTCACTGTTACTCATGTGAATACTGGTAAGCATAATGAAAAGGTAACCTCTCTGCTATGACCCTTCACAGAAGTTACATACCTCGTAATAAAGATTTGGCCGATTAAAAGAAGCTGTAAAAGTAAAACACTTCTCAACACACAGTATTTTTTGAGCATCCTTCAAAACATGACTGGTTGCGGTCGCAGTCAGCCCAATCAGTGCTGTGTTCGGGAACTGGCGCTTTAAGATACCAAGTGCCTTATAATCTGGAAAAAAGAAAATACAAAGTGGCCCTCTTTCTGTCCTTTAAGGAACAGAGTAAATGAAGCCTTTTAACATGATGGAGATAACCAAGGCTTGCTGTACTTTGATGGCCTAGCTAGCAATCTCAGTAAATCTGCAGGCGCAGCCTAGTCTTTTTGAATAGGTGGGCTTTCTTATACTTTTAGTTGATTCGTTGAAAACACTGTTCTTGGCCACAGATGGACTCCCTGTTGAAGAGAGGAAATACCTACCATTTCTAGTAAGCTATGCACTGGTCTACACCTGGTGAACAGGGGATTTAAGAGGCAGTGGGAGTAGCCATAGTATTTGTATCTATTACAACTGACAAGAGATAAAAGAGGTCATCAGCCTAAACCCATGGTCAGCAAACTGCGGCTCACGAGCCACATGCGGCTCTTTGGCCCCTTGAGTGTGGCTCTTCTTCCTAAGCCTTAGGAGTACCCTAATTAAGTTAATAACAATGTACCTACCTATATAGTTTCAGTTTAAAAAATTTGGCTCTCCAAAGAAATTTCAATCGTTGTACTGTTGATATTTGGCTCTGTTCACTAATGAGTTTGCCGAGCACTGGCCTAAAGCCTTCTATCACCAGAAGCATCCAAGAGTGGGAAGTTCAGACCAGAAAAAGCTTGGTGAGGGCACTGCTTTTTATATAACCTCTTTCAGGGGAAACATTCTGGGCTCAAACTTGTCATACACATCTACATCACTAGATAAGTTGTCCTTAAATACGTAAATTATTTAGAAAAAAGTGAAAAAGAAATTGCTAAATACTAAGGACTATGAAACTACAGAGAGAAAGTAACCATTTGCGAAGTTGTGAAACTTCCAGGAGCTAACATTTGAATTGGGTCTTGAAGAATAAGCAGACTTCCTAGGAAGGGAGGAGGAAAACATCAGGCAGAGGAAACAGCACACACACTGGCATGAAATGACTCGAGAAGTTGAGATAACAGCAAGCAGTTCAGTGAGGCTAAATCACAGCTTGATGTGATGCTTAGATCTATTATCAAGGCCAGTAAGTAGGGAACTATATTCCTCTATGGTTGCAAGTTAGAACTGAAAAGTTTTCCCTCTAAAACCATGAACAAGGTAAGGATGTCCACTTCTCCACTTTTATTCAACACTAGAAGCCCAACTCACAAAATTCATGCAAGAGTAGGCCTTCCTTCCCCCCAGCTGCTGGCACCGGCTTCCCTCTGGCACCCGGAACCTGGGTTTCCCTCCGGCTGCGGGCAGGCACCCGGACCCAGGCTTGCCTTGCAGCCCCAACTTCATCAGTAAATCTTTATGGCTAAAGGTAGAACAGTATTTTTGCTAACAGACATATGTTTTAAAGGACAAAGATAATTAAACTAAATACTCCCTTAGAGGGAGTAAAGAGAAAGATTTTGCCTCTTGACTCTCCTTATATTAAGGCAAAAGAAAAGGAGTAATAACTACCCAAGAGGATCATTTTAATGGAAGTAGGAATTTTCCATCATGTAAAGCTGAGTAAGAAAATAGTCCCCAATACCAAGTTTTCCGGCTACCACATACATACCGGGTCTGAAATCATGACCCCAGTGACTGCAGCAGTGAACTTCATCCACAGCTATTCGGGTAAATCTCCTTGCTTCGTAGGCTTTCTCTAGTCTTGACATAAACATTTTGCTTTTTGCAATTTTCTCTGGAGTCACATAAATGAGCTTTAGCTTGGAGTTTTTATTTACCATTTCAGCATGAACCCATTTCACATGCTCCTATTGAAAGGAAAAATAGACACGATAGTAGAACTAAGCTAACAAACTGCAATACTAAGTGGTAGAAGATGTTCATTACTCAAAAGCAATAGCCTGGGGCTGTTTAACAGCAGATATTTAGTTCATTAAAATGGAAATCATGTCCCAGTACTAAACTTCATGGCAGTTGTGTAAATAGAATTTTAGCAATTTACTTACACCCAAACTGTTGATAAAAGCATAATCTCATTTGACAAAAAAAGAATAAGAAATGAATGTCAAGATACTCAAATAAGCATTTATTCTATGACGGCATAATTCTAAATTGTTTGTAATAACTATGACTACAAAGGTGTGTTTTTTATTAATCTTAACATTACATTTGTAACACTGCCGATCTCTGTGAACATAATTTATTCTTAATTACCTGCTCTAATGATGCTGTCATATCTACTCAAAATCTTTTTTTTTGTTTTATAAACTATCTTATTCATTGAATTAAAATTTTATAATATGAAATATATATTTATATGTTATATATAACAATAAATCTTAAGAGATAAGTTACTATTTTATATAATATTTGTTACTATTTTATATATTTTGCTTTGTTACTATTTTATATAATATTTTGCCCAGTAGATGTCATAATTTTCCTTCTCATTTGATTAGGACTCAAAGAAGTGTAAAGAAACAATGCTGAATGTGATAGAAAGAGAAAATCAAAACTGCTTTCATCATCCCAGAAAGCAGTATGTTAACTCCTTGAGATAGTCCTAATTTTGTTAAGAAATAGACAAAGTGTATTAAACATTTCAACTGGTCCTAAATGTCCCAGAAATCTTAGGGGAGCAAACATAAGGCTATCTCCTCAGAAATGGGCAGATGCAAAAATAAAATACTACAACTTCTGGCAGAGTAAGTATAAATGAGTGAGCATGGTTATGTTCCAATAAAACTTTATTTATGGACACTAAAATCTAAATCTCATAGTATTTTCACACTTCACAAAATGTATTATTTTTCTCTTAACCATTTAAAAATATAAAAATCTATCTTAACTCACAAACCATACAAAATAGGAAATGGGCTAGAAATGGCCCTTTAGCAGTAGTTTACAACTCCTGATATAAGTAGTAATCAGTTTTAATTTTATAAGCAACTCAATGATAGTTAAGGCCCCTACTTCAGGGAAGACTTATAACACAATAAACAAATAATACAGAACCATACCTTAGAACTAGAAGCATTTAACATGGTAGCTGGAATTTCTAATTGTTTTAAAACCATTAATTGGTCTTCCATAAGAGAAATCAATGGGCAAATCACAAGTGTAAAACCTGAAAAAGAAAAATCGACTTTCAATTTTATACCACCACCAGAACAAGTTCCAACAAGTCACCTTCTTTACCATAACTTGTGGGCACTACCCATTAATTCAGACTAATTTTCAATGCAACTTTAGCAGTATACTATCTATTTCTTATCCTCATTAATATAGGAGGGAGATACGAATAAATGATCCTAAGCCAAATAAAGCAAATTTAAGATTAAACAGAAATCTCTTCCCTTATTCAGTCCTACAAACATAAAGATTGATATTATATTTTGAATTTTGAATTCACTATCATTTTTAACAATCAGTATTGGTAATCTCAGTAAAATAAAATACTATCCAGTTACATCAGGCAAAAGTTATTCCAAAGCTGCCTACTTCCCCATAAAAACCATAGCAATCTATAGAATTGAAAATGTTTCATGGGTATTCATCCACTTCCTGTACCAGATTAATTTATTCTGAATGGAAATCAGTGAACAGTGTATTGACTAAATGAAGTTCTGGCAATAGATCTTGTTTCTCTTATAACTGAAAGTGTTGACAGCTCTAAGAGTTATTCTACATTGTTAAAAACATATGACCTCAAGTTCCTATAGTTTGTTCCTTAAAATAACCGCAGAAAGAGGGTAGTCCTGTTTAACTATTTTTTTGAATACTTAAAAATATATTAAGAGAGCCCTGGACAGTGTGGCTCAGTTGGTTGAGCAACAGAGCATCAAAAGATCCCTGGTTCGATTCTCCATCAGGGCAAATGCCCAAGTTGTGGGTTCGGTCCTGGTCAGGGTGCGTAGGGGAGACAACCAATCAATGTTTTCTCTCTCTCTCTTCCTTTCCTTTCCTTTCTCTAAAATCAATTAAAATATATTTTAAAGTATATACTGTACATATATATATATACATATACATATATATATATACATATATATAGAGAGAGAGAGAGAGAGAAAGAGAGAGAGAGAGAAGTAACATTTCTTCAATTTAGAATAACTCTTTATTAATACATACCATCTGAACATAATGCTGGTAACTGGTAGCATAAGCTCTTTCCACCTCCTGTAGGCATAACAAGAAATACATCCTTTCCAGACATTGTTACATTAATAGTTTCAAGCTGAAGCAGTCTGAACTTCTCCAGTTTAAAGACATTTTGCAGAACATCTTTAACTTTATCAGACCATGGAAAATCTAGAAAGAGAAAAATAAGCTAAATATATTAGATTGTTTAGGACTATAAGGAGACACATGTGCATAGGTGCTTTTATAAGAGCAGGATCAGATAAATATATATAATATTTTTAATACTATGGACAATTTAACTTTCATAAGAACAATTTTGAGATTAGTTTAAGTCACAAAACTAAAGCAAAAGCAAATTTAATGATATACAGTAAGAAATCGTACCTCAGGAAAAAAAAGCTACTATATCAGGAAAAAATCAAAGCATTTGCCAGTTGAGAATTAACTTTCACAAAAGAAGATATTTGAAAAACCATCTGAAAGTCAATCAAGGAATTCAAAGTATCATAAAATACTCAAATATCATGAACAAAGCTAACCATTATCTGGAATTTTTGGTGTAAATATCTTGTTTATAAGTGAATCACTAAAAAATAAGGCCCACAAAAGCACTGCAATTCCTTCTCAAGTTACAGTATTCCTTTTATGATTATTTTTGGTTGTTCATCAATGTTTATTTCCTTTTCAATTACAGTTGACATTCAATATTATATTAGTTTCAGGTGTACAGTACAGTGGTGAGACATTTATATAACTTATAAAGTGATCCCCCATAAGTCTAGTAACAACTTGACACCATAGTTATGACAATGTTATTGATTAATATTCTCTATGCCGTGCTTTACACTCACGTGACTATTTTGTAACTGCCAATTTGTACTACTTAATCCCTTCACCTTTTTCACCCATTCCCCCAATCACTGTCCTATCTGGCAACCCTCTGTTCTCTGCATTTATAAGTCTGTTTCTGTTTTGTTTTAATTTTTAGATCCCACATATAAGAGAAATGATGTAGTATTTGACTTTCTCTGTCACCCACGAAAATTAGTGATACACACGATGCTCTGAAGGAACTTAAATCAAAAAAGGTTTGTTCAGTAGAGAAGGGAAATGAACTAGACTTTGGCAAAAAGTTTGATTTTTTTTCTTAATCGTTTAATTTTGTCTAGTGAAAATTTAGTTAAAATAAATATCTCACTTTTCCAAGCATTGATTCATGCTGTTAACATTAATGCTGTTAACCATATTTGGAAAAAAATAATAGTCTGAATAATAAAAGCTTAATTTTAAAAGACTACAGAACATGGGTAGAAAACGGTCTGCCTCTAAGCTTCCCACGCCACTTAAGGAATGGCCAGTTTCACCTCTAAACGTACTGGAAAGCACTGACCCCAGTACAGCGATTTAACTCCAGTTTAAAGAAAGAAGAAAAAAACTAGCAAATAAAAAAAATAAATAAACCTTCTTTATTCCAAGAGGCAGGTGAAGAATCACATTCATTGCTTCCCCCAGCATCAGAATCCTCCAAACACTGCTTTATTCTGTTTGTTAGGATGGTTTTTTTCTGAGTAAGCTCTTGTTGCCTCTCCAGAAGTTCCTGAATTTGAATGTCTACTGCATGTAGCTCATTGTTCACCGAATCCAATTCCTCAGTTAGAGCTATGAGGGAGGAAAAAAGATACAATGACAACACAGTCAATTACAATTTTAGGTTTCCCTAATAATTTTTTAATATTCCTCACCATCGAAATCACAGACAAGCTTATAAATTCTTCAGTGTGGTTAAGAGCATTGTTTTGGAGTCACACAGACCTGACTTACTAGTAAATCTCAGGTCCTCCTCTTACCTGCTGAGTGACCTGGGGCAAGGTACTTAACTGAGCCTCAATTTCCCCATCTGTAAAATGGGGATAAAACCTAGGTTTCATAGCACTATTATACAGGATTAAGTGAGATAACATATGGAAGGTTCTTGACACAGTATCTGGTACAAGTTAAGCATTTACAAATGATACCTATTTTAATTATGTTGTAGGGCAGTGGCCCAACAATCTCCTAAATCAAGTAACCCAACTATGAAGCAAACGCAAGCTATTTAAAAGCAGTCCCCTAACTTCTTAGCTATTTTTCACAAAAACATTCACATTTAGGCTCATATAGTGGCATATAAGGATTCAATAATTATAAACAAGATGATATAACAAGTAAAAAAAAGTCATGTACTATTAAAATTAACATTACAACTCCATCATTAATTTATAAAGGAGCCTTAATGTATTCTAATCAGACAAAGTCAAAGTGAGATTCCTTTTGATACCATATCAAAAGGAAGCTGTAAAAAATTTAAAGATGTTGTTGGTGTGTCCAAAACATCTGCCTGCATTATTCAGTGTTCATTTTTAATGCCTTTTCATGAGATAAAGTCTATGGTTATTTAAAATCGGATGTTGTGGTGACTTTGTATTGTACCAACTGACAGAATTCCCTTCCCTGTAGGATTCTGGGTTAGGACTGGCCACAAGTGAACTCTGCATGAGATGTGGAGGGTGGAAGAAAGAGCAGGCTGATTTACATTCAGACGGTTGGCATAAGGTCAAATGCTGTTGCAGCGCACTCATGTTGTCGTGGATCTGCTGCCTCACCTTGTTGGCATGGGGCAGAGCCAGTTCCTCCAGGCCCTGATGAATCTCCCCAGGGCAGTAGCTTGGCCCACGGCTTCTCTGAATCCTTGACCAACTTCATGTGCAACTGGCCGTAGCAACTACACCAGATCTTCGGCAAGGCACCAGCATCCATGAAGTCAGATCCTTGTAGGCAGTGACACACCACCATGATTCCCAGTGAGAGACAGGAGGGTTCCACATAGTCCTTGTGGGTTTCAGCTGATCCTTACCCACCCACACTTCACATCCATCTTCCCATCCCTAATGCTGGCACTACTGACTTCAGGTCCAGCAGGGGACTGCGTAACCAGCTCCAGTGATTATGCAGGAACTAGTCCCTATAAGAAATCCCTTATATCTGATTGAAACCTAGCCAACACCCAGTGCTGTTCCAGATGAACAGAAACTTAAGGGTGGGTTCTCTGAATTGCTTCTGGGCCACCTGAAATTGGGCCTCTGATCTGATTAGATCTAAAGATACTGATGCCCTTTGTTTGCAGTGATAAAAGGGGCAATGGTATTCCATGGCATGCAGGAGACAGAGTTATTTAAATCCTAATCTGTAGACACCAGTATAAGTGTCACACTTAATTATACTGGTGTCTTACTTAATACTTGGGTGGCCAAGTGTTTCCTGACACAGAACATTTTGGTGAAAATAATGGCAACGACTGGTTTCTTTGAAGTATACTGGAGGACTTGGGGAGAGAAATGCAGGGCCTCAAAGTTGCTACAGGGTCAAGATAGTGAATACCAACCCTAAGTCTAAATCCCGCAGATGGCTGTAATACAATGTAAACTGAATCCCCAGCTTTGCGGGGACTCGTATTAAAGTTAAGGACAAAGTGTCACTCTGCAACTGGGATGGGAACATCTGGGCAGATTCCAATGAAACAGGGGACCTTGAGCACTGAATCTGCCAACTCTCTTTTGCCCTTCCCTTTCTGAAACAGCTTTCTCCTGCCTGAATGCCTTTAATGGTCTTTCCTGAGGTGGTTGTTTTGCAAAGGACTGCTCATCTCCCTAAGGATCTCCCCCCACCACCTCTTAGTTCTTCAGTACCCAGGACGCTCTAGATCAGTGGTTCTCAACCTTCCTAATGCCGCGACCCTTTAATACAGTTCCTCATATTGTGGTGACCCCCAACCATACAATTATTTTCGTTGCTACTTCATAACTATAATTTTGCTACTGTTATGAATCGTAATGTAAATATCTGATATGCAGGATGTATTTTCATTGTTACAAATTGAACATAATTAAAGCGTAGTGATTAATCACTAAAACAATATGTAATTATATATGTGTTTTCCGATGGTCTTAGGCGACCCCCTGAAAGGGTTGTTTGACCCCCAAAGGGGTCACGACCCACAGGTTGAGAACCGCTGCCCTAGAGGCTGAGGTATTAAAAGTGCAACCCATGAGAAGACACAAAACACACCAGAGTTGCATTTGCCAATATATACCACCAGAAACCTAGAGAATAAATATGGGAAGAGATCCTAAGGGTATTAAATCAGGGTGGATAGAAAATAATATTAAATAAAACTTAACTTATTAGTATGGACTCGGTAAGAAATTCTGGAATTAGTGTGCTAAAATAGTGCCCAGGAGTAGCTCTAATAATTTACTTAGTTGGTAGCCAGAAACCGGGCCCCGAAGATGAATATAAGAAAGTTGGATGGAACAACACAAGTGTAAATCCCAAAGAAGCTGAAGGCCAGAACTTCCCGGGTATACTATACACGAGGGGATCCAGGGGCTTGGGGAGATGGGAGTGCTAGAGTGGATTATCAGGTAAATGGATCATCCACTCTCTTGCTGTACCCGCAACAGGATCCAGAAGATGCTCCCTTCACCAAGATGATGAGAAATACAGTCATGAGGGGAGCCTTAGCATCCCTGAAGAGCTCTGGAGTGGCTGTTCTCTGCAAGTCAGGAACGACAGTGGGAAGTACTGCCTTTAAACTAGACAACCTGAATCAATGAGAATGATGGATTCTAAGATACAGGGACTAAATGATGGCAATTCATGACCAAAGAAAAGGTAGATGGCGATTGCCATAACAGGCAACAGAGCAGCAGTAATCAGAATAGTCTGACTCTCAAAGGTCTTTGGCATTGGCTAGTTGGTCATGATGTTGCTGAGGTGGAAACAGATAATTAGATTTGTATAGGTAGAATACAAAGCCCTGATTCTGGTAAACATAAGTCTGATTTGAATCACCACAAGAGTTGCCATCCTTCATCCAATCCCCAAAAATGAGCCAATTTATAGACCCAGAGTCCCTTGAATAAAGTGCAGGTTGGGGCCCTTTGAGGAAGGACGCTACTACATAGCTAAAACTTTATGTAGTAAATCTTTCCACTAGTCTCCTCCAGAGAAACTTATCAGGGCAATTATGTATTCGGAAAAGGAAAATAAATTTTCAGAAATCATCGAACATTGGCAGTAAGATATAAGACTGCAATACCTCTAAGACTTTCTTCCTTATTTTGATCCTATATAATAAAAGGCTAATATGCAAATAGACCGAACGGCTGAACAATCGAACAACCAGTTGCTGGTGGTTACTAAAAATTCTTTGCTCCCGTGTGCTGCAGTTCTGCCCGGCACTTGCACCTGATGCTGGCGCCAGCCCCACTCGCACCCGCAGTCGGCGCCCAGTGCTGGTCCCAATCGGTAGGCGCTGTCAGTGGGTGCAAGCAGTGGCTGCCAGCCCCAATCGCTTCTGAGGGCTTCTCCACCTTCCTCTGCTAATGAGGGGCGATCTGGGCAGCACCTGCTGACGGCATCAGCCCCACTCACACCCGCTGCTGGCACCAGCCCCAATAGCTCCGTGCCATCAGCAGGTGTGAGGCACTGTCAGAGTGTAGGTCAGAGCGTGGGAGCAGCAGCAGGAGCGGGGGCTGCTGGCAGACAGGGGACCGGGGGCCATGGTGGGAGGGGCAGGGCGGGGGCACAGAGGATGAGCCAAGACCCGCCCCTGTGCCCACCACAGCCTCAGGGCCCACAGTTCCTTTCAAGGTACACAAATTCGTTCACTGGGCCCCTAGTATTTGTATATAAACCAAGTTTGGGTTTTTCGTTCTTGTTGGTGGGGTTTTTTTGTTGTTGTTTTTGTCCCTTCTCCTATTCCTCTATCAAAAAGAAAAAAAGTGTCAATAGTAGCTAACTTCCTATCTCAGGAATTAGCTGCAGCAGTTCTCAACCTGTGGGTCGCATCGTTCGAAAATACATCCTGCATATCAGATATTTACATTACGATTCCTAACAGTAGCAAAATTACAGTTATGAAGTAGCAACCAAAATAATTTTATGGTTGGGGGTCACCACAGCATGAGGAACTATATTAAAGGGTCGCGGCATTAGGAAGGTTGAGAACCACTGGAGGATTATCAAGGAGGATGTGATTCATCAAAAAGAGGAATAAGCATCATCAAAAGATAAGTAGAATTTGTGCCCTCTTCTGTAGAGTTTAGTTTGTATCTGGTTGTGTACAGGATAGTTGGTGACACATTAAGCAGAAGCATCATTCTGCTACTTCCTTTATTTGAATACTAGAGGCCCGGTGCACAAAATTCGTGCACTGGAGGAAGGGGGGGGGGTCCCTCAGCCCAGCCTGCACCCTCTCGCAGTCCGGGACCGCTTGCTCCTTACTGCCCACCTGCTCACTGCTCCTTAGCGCTGGTGCGGATGTGGGAGAGGCTCCCATCACCACCACTGCACTCGCCAGCTGTGCACCCGACTGCTGGCTGAGTGACACTCCCCCTGTGGGAGCGCACTGACCACCAGGGGGCAGCTCCTGCATTGAGCATCTGCCCCCTGGTGGTCAGTGCACATCATATCCACATGCCTCTCGCAATCCGGGACTGCTGGCTCCTAACCGCTCGCCTGCCTGCCTGCCTGATCGCCCCAACCGCCTCTGCCTCAGCCCCACACCCAGGACTCAGGATTCCCTCCTCCAACTGGCCGCAGGCACCCTGGACCCTCGCTTCCCTCCCTCTGGCCGGCCGCAGGCACCCAGGCCTCCCACAGGCTGGCCACAGCCACAGGGGACCGTGGGCAAGCAGCTTCACCCAGGCCGCAGCCACAGGCACCTGGGACTGCAGGGCGGGCGGCTTTTCTCCCTCTCCAGGGCTGCAGGCACTGGTGCCTGGGACTGCGGGACAGGCAGTTTCTCCCGGGCTCGGGCCCGGCTTCGTCAGGAAGGACATCCAGATAGTCCTCCGGAAGATGTCTGGTCTATTAGCATATTACCCTTTTGTTAGTATAGATTAAAAGAGAAGTCTATGGATACCCTGAAGGCAAAGGGTGAAGTCTGGTGGCTTTGTACTGTGATAACTTAGCTAAGCTAGAACTACATTTCCCAAAATTCTTTCCCTGCATAGATCTAGGTTAGGGCACAGAGAACTCTGCCAAAGCTTTGGAAGGTGGAAGTGATGCAGTGGCCGCATTTGCCATATTTAAGTAGGTCAGTGCAAGGTCAGGGCTGGTGACCTCATTGGCATGGGGCAGCACCTGTGCCCACAACTCCAGCTGCTGCTCAATATCCTTGGGAAAACAGCAGGGCTTGCAGCTCCTCCAGGAACTGTTGGTTCACCTTCTTCAGCTTCTCTGAAGCCTCAGCCAGTTGCATGCAACTTCATGTGAAGTACACCAGCTCTCTGATGTGGCTGCAGCATCCAAATTGGAAGATGTGAGGCAATGAGACACTAATACAGATGCTAGTAAGAAACAGACCATCTTCACAGGTAGCAGTTTATTTTTGCATTCCCCATCACATCTTCTTTTCCTGACTGCTGATTCTGCCAACTTCAGGCCCAGTGCCAGACACACAGGAAACATACATAGAGAACCTAACACTTCCCACAATCACATAATCCCTTATATCACTCAGAGTGGCTCTGTTTCTCTGATCAAACCCTACCTGACAGAGATGTAATGTCAATCCATGGTACAAAGTCACATCATATCTTTGACAAAATCATGATTGCCTAAAAATATTAAAAGGTACAGCTAGTTGTAGTAAGTTGGGGTATTTTAATTTTTTTGTCCAAAATTATATCATCTCCAATGCTGGCATATACAAGACTTTACTATATGAAATGTGATTGAAAAGTCAAGTATATGACTTTAATCAATAATGAAGAGGGATTACAAGTACACAGGGCTTACTAAGGCAACGGTATCTCAAGAGCACACTGAACTGAGTGGGGATCACACTGCAGTGTTTCTAGGCTTACAGCTGATGCATGGGAGGTGCCATTCTTCAGAAACAGCACGTTTTCTAACAATATCACAAACTGAAGTTAACACTGAAAGGAAAGTGATTTACCAGCACTGAAGCTGTCAGATCCAAAGTAGCAAACTACCTGAAGGCAACCTCAAAGAGGCAGTTCAAATACAGTTCAACAAATGGATAGAATAGAAGTTAGATTTCTTTGAAAGGGGTACATATTATGAAAGCAGTTATTTGAAATAAGCATCTCTACTTAAATAAAATTTACCTATTTCATTGTTCAGTTATTTTAAAGTCATACTCCACGGATAAAGCTGAAGTCTGAAGTAAAATAACATATGCAATCCCAAAATGATCATGCTGAACTGAGTTGTGAGGTTCAGTGACATCTCTTAAACCCTCATTTTAATTTCTAAGTAAAGATTGCTTGGGTTAGCATTTAACATAACTTAAATTTTGACCATTTATTATTAACCCTCAGGGTATGAGAAGGAGGCATGAGTCAAAGCCAAAACCTATGTCACTATTTTTTCATGTTTATATTGAAATAAATTATAAAGTTGTATGTGTTGGGGGGGGCAGGGGAGGGGGAAGAGAGGAGGGACATGTCTCATATTTAAGAAAGCCCCTTCTTTAAAGTTTGAAAAAACTAATCTTGTCACCCTACTATTAGAACTAGTATGTATTAGCAAATTTTATATACACAGCACCCCTGCCATCACCTCTTAACCAAATAAATAGCAAGATATCACTAATAAGCACAGTAGAATCTGGTCAAGTTCACAGGAACAAATAATGAATAGACATATATCAAAATACCAAGCGTATCTGTCTGGGAAAGGTAAAATGGATGTTTTTCTTTTATATTTTAAAGACATTTGAAATAACTCCACTTATAGGACTGTATCTTAAAGAAATAATCAGAGGAGCACACAAAACTTGCAATTCATAGATGCTCGAGGCAGAATTTCTTTATGTTTTAAAAATAAAAACAGTATAAAAGTTCAACAATAAAATATTATTTATTTAATGTCACTTCAAAACAACAAAATACAATGCAGGTATTAGAATATTTACAACCTACAATTTATTCAATAATATGTCTATATTCTATATTTGCATTATGTGTTTATAAATCACATTACAAAACAATATGTACAAAATGTTTTAAAATTTTAATAATAAATTAAATGTTATAATATTAATCTCAACATAAGATTAGAAGTGATTGGTATTTTCTACTTTACAATTTTTAGGTTCCTAGAATTCTATCAAAAAAAAACCCATATATTTTCCTTGGAACCCTTGTGTATTGCTAGTGGGAATATAAAATGGTGCAACCACCAAGGAAAATAGTATGGCAAGTTACTCAAAAAAATCAACTTGTGATCTAGCAATTCCATTTCTGGGTATAAACCCAACAGCTGAAAGTAGGGACTCAGATATTTATACACCAATGTTCACAGCAGCATTAGTCCCTATTGGCCAAAAGGAGCAACAACCCATATGTCCAGGGACAGACAAATGGATAAATAAAAGACTTAATGTACATACAATGGAATACTATTCAGCCTTAAAAAGAAACATGTTACAAAATGGATGAACCTCAAAGGCATTATGCTAAGTGAGATAATCGAGACACAAAAGGACAAATATTACATGATTCCACTTAAATGAAGTGCCTAGAACAATCAAAATTCCTAGAAAAAAGTGGAGTAGCGTTACCAGGGGTTGCAAGAAAGGGTGCAATCAGGAGTTACTGTTTAATTGGATACAGAGTTTCAGTTTGGGAAGATGAAAAAGTTGGGGCGATGGATATTGGTGATGCGTGCACAACAATGTGAAGGCACTTAATGCCACTGAATCGTACACTTAAAAAAGTTAAAATGCACCCTGGCTCAGTGGTTAGAGTGTCAGCCCTCAAACCAATCCCTTGTCAGGACCCATGTAGAAGGCAACCAATTGATGTGTCTCTCTTACATTGATGTTTCTCTCTCTCTTAATGCCTCCTCCCTCCCTTCCACTCTCTCTGAAAAATCAATGGAAAAAATATCCTCAGGTGAGGATTAAAAAAAAAACGTTAAAATGATGCCCTGGCTGGCATGGCTCAGTTGATTGGAGTGTCATCCCATATACCAAAAGGTGATGGGCTCAATTCTAGGTCAGGACACATACACGGGTTGTGAGTTTGATCCCCAGTCAGGGCGTTCACGAGGCAATTGATGTTTCTCTCTCTCTCCCCATCTCCCTTCCTCTTCTCTAGATTCAATGAAAATCATATCTTTAGGTGAGAATTACAAAAAAATAGTTAAAATGGTAAATTTTGTAATGTATACTTACCATAATTTCTAAAAATCTGAAAAAAACAGCCCAGCGGGTATGGCTCAGCGGTTAACCATCAACCCGTGAACCAGGGGGTCACAGTTCGATTCCGGATTCCCAGTAAGGTTGCAGGCTCAATCCCCAGTGTGGGGTGTGCAGGAGGCAGCCAAGTAATGTTCTTTCCTATCATTGATGTTTCTCTCTGCCCTTTTTTCTTCCTCTCTCAAAAATCAATATTTAAAAATACACACTTTTTTTTAATCTAAAAAAAAGCATTTCTAAAATCAGAAATTTCTTAATTTTTTAATTTATTGATTGACTTTAGAAAGAGGGTGTAGGGGGAGACATGGTGGGGGGGGAGAGAGAGAGACAGACATAGATTTGTTGTTCCACTTATTTATACATTCATTGGTTGATTCCTGTATGTGACCTGACCAGGGATGAACCCACAACCTTGGCATATCGGGACACTGTTCTAACGAGCCTGGGCTATAATCAGAATTTTTAAAACAAATATGTTTTAAATTTATTGTATTTATTTATTTTTATTAAGACTTTTAGAACAGTTTAAAGTTCACAGCAAAGTTAAAGTGAAGGTACAGAGAAAAGCAAATATTTTTTTCAAAGAACATACGAGTAGAAACGGAACAGAATGGAAAAAAAATGTAATTATTTCCACTAACCTGAAACAGATGCCATTCCAACACTGAATTAGAGATCCAAATTTCTTTCTAAAAATGAAAGAAAAATAATAGCAACATTTTTTTAAAACAGTACTACTGATTATGCTCAATCAATGATATTCTGACATGATTAAGAACAAAAAAAATGTTAGAAAGTAACACATAAGGACCCTTTAAAAAAGAACTACATGGTTCTTACTAATTTTTATGGAAAATTCTCAATTTTTTCAGAAGTGTCCAAAGTCACATAAACATCCTATATAATAAAAAGCTAACATACAAAATGGACCAAATGGCAAAATGACTGGTCACTATGACGTGCACTGACCACCAGGGGGCAGACGCTCAATGCAGGAGCTGCCCCCTGGTGGTCAGTGAACTCAGCCAGAAGCCAGGCTCAAGCCACCTGCAGTGGCAGTGACGGGAGCCTCTCCTGCCTCTGCTGCAGCACTAAGGATGTCTGGCTGATGGCTTAGGCCCGTTCCCTGCACGAACTTCGTGCACCAGGCCTCTAGTATAATAAGTACAAGGTAAGTAAAACAACAACAATTACCAGATAAAAAGTGATATAACAAAAAAGAGCAAATATTTGAGGTTTAATAGTTAGTACTAAAGCACTGTGTGATTTTAGCAAAATTACACACCCTGTTCCTCTCAGCTTCTTTCCGTACTTGTAAAACTGGGATAGAACCTATCTTATAAATAACAAGTTGGATAGATTCAAATGTCCCAGGTTAAGCAAAATCTACCAACATAAATACCCAAATTAATCGTTTAACATTTTACTGAATACTTGCTTTAAAGACTTACAATTTAGGCTCAATCTTAAAAAAGGATTTGGCATTCTATGGTGGAGTGGGAGTTCATAAATTTCAGAAGAGAACCTGAAAAGCTCAGAAGTAGGGAAAAAACAACACATGGTTTATATTAAGAACCTCTAAATACCTATGAATGACTAAAACGTAAGAGAGAGTACATATGAGCAAGTGGAAGGAGATGCGGCTTGAGAGTAGGAACTTTAGGTTAGGAACTTTAATCCCCACCAACACCTCCCCTAACTCTGATATGGACAACCAACATTTTCTAGAAGTAATTTAGAATGTTCCCCAAAGGTTACTTCAGCATGACTCTACCTGAACCAGAATGCTGACCTTATGCCCTTCCTACCACAGAATTCTGAAACCACCACTAGGCTGGGAAGATAGGCAGGATCCTCTTTGCCTTGCTGAGTTTGGAATATAACCTGTTTGAAGTAGGAGAACCAAAGACTTCTTTATCTATATAAACAGCTCTTGTGGAAACATAATTCTCCTTCCGTAGAGCGCAAGGTTTTCCCGCAGGGCAGGGGTTGAGGCTCTTCCCTTTGTATTCACATAGCCTAGCAAAGTGCCTTGCATGTAGTTCAGGCTCAAGTTTGCAGAGATTGAAAGCAGAAACTATCTCTACTCTTAGGAAAGAATACATTCTACAACACCCCCCCTCCCCCCCCACTATAGTATCACACACACACACACACACACACACACACACACACACACACAGTTTTAAATTACTTCTTTGATTATACTGTCAAAAAACCTCATAAATTCCTTCCCCAAATGATGTGATTTAATATTAAAAGATACCTTAATATGGTCAGAAATTAATGAGCTACAGCAGGTCTGTCAGAAGTATAGCTAGGCAATGTAAAAAACCACAAACAAAGCCTACCTGAGCATAAACAAACAAAAAAACCGTTTAGTCTCACAAGCAGAGCTTAACTGAGCTTACTTTGTATAACTAACTTAACCTGGGCCATTTCTCATTTAGCCTCTGGAAATGTGAATGAAACTTAAACAATTTCCCAAGGTTGATATGTAGTAACCACTAACCAAATTCCCTATCAATTAAGAAAATGCTAATACTATACCCAATCACTTTGAAGATAAGCAGCCACTACCTTCTCACTATATCAGCTGTTTTAACAACACACCCCTGAGCCTCATTACATGTTTTGGCTCGAGTGCTCTTGGTTAGCGAACTGGTTTTTTTTTTTGGTCAACAGCAAGCTTTCACTACTTCCATGACTCATCGGTTTCGCTTCTGATGTTTCTGAATTTTTGAGAGCACCCACAGGAAATCTCTCACCGTGTCTCACCCAGTCATCGATGCTGGAGGAAATGCCACTGAGGTGCCACAGGTTAAATCAGACACACATCCACCCCCCTTCCCCCGCCACCTGCGTTTACAGACAGCAGCAATATAATAATACAATAATATAATAATACACCCTCCCAACGGTGTTCCCAATAAACGACGGCTTCCAATCAACAGGCTTTGGTGACCACGCTTGCTGCATGCAAAAGGCTGGAGATCAAACGAGCGTGTCCTAAGGGCCTGGGTTTCCCTGCTGTCTCCCCTGCCAATGTGGAAGACAGTGACCCCTAACAGACGGGCCTCGCCTTCAGGCAGGAAGAGGAAAACCAGCCCTTTCAAAACGTAACCGGAGAAGCCGTTCAGGAACCCCGCACCCGGGCCTTCCAGACCTCCCCAGCCTCCGACCCCAAAGCGCCCCGACTCAGAACCACGCGCGACTTACCCGTAAAAAGTTCCCGCCACCCGGCTTTCTCCGCACCCCAGCCGCGAGCATCCACCCTTCCGGGTCGGCCCGATCCACCAATGGCAAGTCAGACCCTTCTCTCATTGGCCAAGGGGCGTGGCCTCCCGCGCGTCACCGAACAAGCCTCCACATCATTGGTTGATATCGGGAGCGGATTGAGCCAATCGGAAGCCGCCTCCAAGCTGGGATGGGGATGGCTGCGTGTTTCCGGAAGACGTGGCGGCTGTCTCTTGGGTCGCTTCCCGGCTTCAGACTCGCGTCTTTGCTTCACGCTCTGGTTTCCTCGAGGTGCTGTCCTCACCCCAGCAAGGACCCCAGCAGCCATGATCTCCTTAACGGACACCCAGAGTAAGCGCCTGCCCCGGGGTCCCTGCCTTGAGCCCTAAATACCCTTTGCTGGGGCGGGGGCGGGGGCTCTCCCGCCCGTTTCCCCCACCCCCCGGTGCGGGGAAATGAATGAAGCTCCGCACAGGGAGCGGCG